TAGCATGGCTGCAAGAACTCTCAAATTTCCAAGCTACATTTTACGGCAGCTGGCCACAAGTAATTATGCAGACAGAATAACATGCTTTTTATACTTTCATTTGTGTGCCTTACATATAGGTGATTATCTGTCATCATTTGCCCTCTGTCCTTCTGTCTATCATCTGATTTCTCCTTCAACATTACTTCCATAATTGATATTTTTAGGTACCTTGTTAGTACCTCTCCTAGATTTGTGTTTTTTCCATTCAATTTTTGATGAATATTTTTGTCATTTTTGGTAAAAAATGCTATTTGAGACTTGTTTATTGAAAACTGCTTGTCCAATTATTTCATTATTTTATATTTAGACTCTTGGCTGGACCTATGTCACATTTCTTGATTCTGACTTTAGAATATTTTTTGTTTCGTAATTTTCTATTGAAAGCAACTAGCCAGATATTGTAATACAAAATATTTATATTGAAAATAGCTGGACATAATAATTTGATATTTTTTTTTGGATCTCATTATGCATCTAATATAGGCTGCTTGTTTTGTATCTTTTGGAAAATCAACAGTACACCGTGTGTATCCTAGCACACACTGTCAGACTTGCAATGATATTCTAAATGAGAAAATGTTTGATTATCAGCGAGAGTAATACCATATCTGTTTTATTAGTGAAGCAACTCCAATATAAGCGTATGTAAACCAGAAATTGGGTTTGTTTTATACACGAAATATAAAATATAACTATCGTGATCATAGAATCTCCTTGATTTGTAATAAAGCAAATTTGACAGCCTAATGAAGCTTGCAATTGTCTCTGAAATGTGACATTGATGGGCAGATTTTTTTTTTCTAAATACCATAGCAAGATGAATACATCTTCATGTAGATAGAGTAATATAATTATCTATTTTTTGCAGTTTATCTACATGTCTGAGTTGCGAAAGATACCTTTCCCGGTAGTGAATTCTGTTGAAGATAGCTTGGAAGTGGACTACAGAGAAGAAGAGTCGTACATTCTACAAGGCGACACAGAACCAACTTACTATGGTGTATAAATAATAGGAAAATTATATAACTACTATTTTTATATTTCACTAATTCAGAATAATGAATAATTACTGGTTTGATATTTTTGGTACATACAATTTGTATCTGTGCACGATATCTGCTGATATGTTGTTTGTGGTGATTTGGATTACTGTGCTTTTCACAAAGACATAAATTTGTTTTATGGACATTTATAAAATATTTATGTAACACTAACCCTGGGAGATTTTTGTGTTTTACTGAAATGGAGCTCATTCAAAATGCAGTTTTTGCCAGTTTCATTTCGTCATTTGCAGTTTTAATGCCATGCCCCCTGAAAGCATGTGGTTTTCTAAAACATTCTTAAATTCAATTTCATACCTTTATGAAATGCATAGTATTTTCACCTGATCTATCATGAAAGTCTTGAAATATAATTTACATGTTAACTATAATGTAGGAAATAATTGCGTGTTATAAATCGCCTTTGTCAGAGGTTTTTGTCATAGCTTTATATTGCAAACATTTATTCGCAAGTAATTCATTTCAAGAAATAGCTCCCAAACTTAACTAAATTTGTTTCATTCTGTTGATTAATCAATTCCCACAGAAATCAATCCCCACATTGTCATTATGGATGAGAAGAGTTTAGATGCATTAACATGCTCAGCTTTGCCTCACATATAATATCTTGCCAAAGATCCTTCTCATCCACTATGTTGCTTTGGGAGGTACATTATTGTTTAAATAACAGTACACAATAATGTGTGAATATCCCCAACCTTTCATTTATTTCACAGTGATGGGCAGTGCACTGTTGTTTATTCATAATATGTGGACTGTCACGTATATATTTAGCTCTGCTGTCGAGTGGAGCTTATCATTTGAGTGATTGTCCGTCATCATCTGCGTCAATTTTTTACTTTTTCAACTTCTTCTTGAAAACTACAAGCCTGAATGCTTTGATACTTTGTGTATATGTACCTTGGGTAGACCTCTCTTAGATTTGTTCATTTCATGATCATATCTTCAATTCTCTATACATGTAGGCACTGCAGGTAGACCTCTTCTCAGATTTATTCATTCCTTAATTGAAATGTGCATTGATAACAGCGGAGCTATCTCAGCCGAGCGGCTGCTTGTTCGGTTAATTTGATACATAAATATCTTGGGGATAATGTATGCATATTAGTTTTGTAGCCACAACCCATGCAAATCTTCATTTCAGCCTGTTGAGACCAAAAAATTTTTGAAATGAATTTTGATCAAATTTTCTATATATAAATATATATTGGTGCTGAACACTGGCTGACTGATCTCAACCTCCAATGAGATTGCTTCTTCACTGATTATTGGGAATTTTCATTTCCTAGATTTCTTTATATAAAACAACAATGATTGCATGTATTTTGTATTCACATTGGGGCTTTGCATAATTTAAATTAGATTCAGCGTTTTCTTTGATTTTTGTTTTGTTTTTAAATGTTATCAATAAAGGGTACACTTTAAAATAGATTTATTGTGAAATTTTGTTAAGTTCATGATAAACAATATGAAAATATTAAAAATTGTGTTGAGTTTGTGGGCTTTTGTAATCAACGAAACAAAACAAAATGTAATGAAACTAAACAAAACTGGATACTACCATAATGACAATAAAACGTAAAAAAAAATGTAATCAGATAAAATGAGTTTTAAATGCACAATATTCACAATAGTCGAACAAAACTTGACCAGTATATTTACCTTTTAGGTCATGTGTAAACATAATATATTTGACAAAAAAAACTATATTTCAGTCAAATAAATGGTTTGTCTTGCTAATTACAGATAATCGGTAATCTGAACTCAGTGAAATAAGGGTCCTACATGTACAATATTCACAATTGTGGGACAAAACTTGACCAGTATGTTTACCTTTTCAGTCATGTATATAACTACATAAAACATTTGACAAAATTAACAGGATTTTATTCAGTAAATGGCTTATTTCGTTAATTACAGATGATCTGAAGTCTGTAATCAGCGATCAATCAATTAAATATTACTAGAAATGTAGATCTGGTTGCCAGGGAAACAGCAATTTTGGAAAAGATAAAATATTTATAACTCTTAAGCTCATAGACGGAAGGAATACCAATCAGTAAAAGGTGGGATACTAAAAATAATAAAATAAAAAAATTTCCCTTCACTGCCCATGTCCATTCACAAAGAATGTATTTTTGCATAATACTGGCCAAAGTCAGAGTGAATCTAAAACCATAGTATTTATATTGCCCTTGTCCATCAAAATACAAGATTTATCAATTTCTGCATGGCTTAATCCAGGCTACATAAACAAGTATTACCCATATCGCCCTTGTCCATCCAAACACACACATATATATATATATATATTTCTGCACAATACTGGTTGAATCCAGGCTAAATCCCCCAAAAAGTATTACCCATATTTCCCTTGTCTATCAAAACACAGAATATACATTTTTGCTTAATACTGGCTGAATCCAGGCTAAATCCAAAAAAGTATTACCCATATTGCCCTTGTCCATCAAAATACAGAATATGTATTTTTGCATAATACTGGCTGAATCCATAGTTAATCCAAAAAAGTATTACCCATATGGCCCTTGTCCATCAAAATACAAGGTACATCCCTTGTATTTGTATCTAACATAATACTGTCCATGTCCAATAAAATACTAGAAATGTACTTTTTCTTAATCTGGTTGAATCCATCCAAAGACTACTCATGCTCACATAAATACAAAAAAAATGTATTTTTGACAAATCTGGCTGAATACAGACTGAGTATTCGTTCAGCATTGCACATACTTGTTAATTCATTCTGTATTAAGTATTTATGAACAATACAAATGGTGGATGTGAGTGTATTCAGTGTGAATACAATAAATAGTCCACACAAACACAGCATGTATTGAAAGGAATTCACATTATGGGAGCTCTGCAATCTAACCAAGTCTTTGCAATGGAAAATATACATTGCTCAAACTGATCAATTCAGACACTCAGTACGTTTTCAGATCCAAGTTATGAAAGGGAACTAGTGATAACAGTCTTCTACTCACCACATTTCTGATTTTTAGATTTTAAGGCCAGTTCAGGGGCTCAATCCCCACTCAGGTGACGTAACTAAAACTTTATCTGAACACGATCCCTCTATCAGAGGGACTGTAATCTGAACAGTCTGACATGGCCTCCTCATCCAAATTTTTGTTAACTTTCACTTCATCCCCTAGCATGATCTGAAATAAAATCAAAAGTAAAATAAATTGCAATTCACACACGCACTATGTACAGAATGAACAGAGGTGACAGTGCAAATTTTTGAAAAGGGGCGAGATCTACTCACCATTCCTCTCACCAAAGCAACGACATTACTAGGGGTGTCCGGGGCATGCTCCTCCGGGAAAATTTTGAAATCTAGACCCTCCAAAACGCTATTTTCTGCATTTTGAGGGTCAAATTGTGCTGACACAAAGGGTTTCAGCTTGACTGGGGGACAACCTGCCCTCTGCACCCCCACCCCCTGCCGCCGTCACTGATGAGTATAAAATTGGGACACTTTGTCAATCAGAGCATTTGAAATCTATCTATGTATTGAGATGCATGTAAATAACACTGAATGTATGGACTGTTCATATGGCTCATTCCGATGCATATGTGGCGTGTATTTCATCTGGCCACTTGATTTAACATATTAGTTACCCTGCATATATTCAGTCCTATTTATTTGCTATACGTTCTATGTTAGTAGCTATCGTAAGAGTTACATATGGAGATCCTGCCTACCTGCCTTCTATTTGTATGCGCTGTTCTTCGTTCAATATCTATGGAAAGTTGCTGTAACGTGGAAAAAGTAAAATACATGTACATGTACTGTTATTTCACTAATGCTTGTGTGGAGAAAAATCCTGACCATTCAACTAGTAAGCTTGGGAAAGGGGCTCTGAATCAGTGAAAGGGATAACGAAAGTCTGCCCATATATAAGCAAGGTGCAAGTACTTACTCAAAGAACTTGAAGGTGGTGGGCGATTCTATCAGAGATTCATTTATTGTAGTTAATAACAACTATACTCCATCAATGTACGTACATCCCGGGGGCAGTTGGGACATACCTGGATAGTGACAAAATCTATACCCATATTTATTCCAAAGTATCATTTCTGTCATCACTGTTTATTCCAAATCATAAAGCAAATCGGAAAAATATCACCGATATTTATACCTATCTTGACCAGAAATAAGACCGATATTTATACCTAAATTCCAAAAAAACGAGACCCATTTCAGGGGCACGTCCCCATTAGGCAAGTTATATGTATTGCCCCCCCCCCCAAGACGTACATGTGTGAAAGTTCCACAAGTAGGCAGTGGGTATACCGCAGTGAGTATACCACTGGGTTCTAGATGTTCTAAAACTGGATGATAAGGGTGATTGTCTTAGATAAGAAAAGGTCAAATGAAAACCACGTTTTCACACCTCCTGTACCTGGAAGTGCCCACAGAAAAATTTATTCTATGGTGTGGGAGATATGAGAACGGTTTACTGTTCGGGGGGTAGCCTCTGGTGAGGATCAGTGGTTACATTGGATGGACAATCATGTAAATTCGCCACAGAGTCCTATCTTTTATCTAGATAGTAATAGCAAACATAACATAGATTGGTGACATAAATACGTCTGGTATCACAAACTGAATGCCGAGTGACAACACAGTATAAGAATTCAATATAGGGAATTACGACTAGGCTATTACAGTATTTACTTTCGT